TTGTTCTTGCTGCGCGTCCATTCAGCGGTAGTATGGAGTCGTCGGAAGAAAATGTAAATAAACTTATCGATGCTTACCGTGCGAAATCTCTTCTGTAGGATCCTCAACATAAAGATCATTTTAAGAAACCGCAGATTCTCGAAGTTAGAAGGTGACATTCGTGTAAAATTATTATATTGACCGCTTACTGCTTGCGACTTCAAGTCCATCATAAGCTCGGTACCATTCCGTTTTTTAAATAGGATAGTGTGCCACCAGCGTCGCTGTTTCCTTTTCTTTTTGCACAATCTTGCCATTAACAAAAAAGCACTACTCATCACCGAAACGGCGTAATTTTTATCGCACAACAGACATGATCATCTACAATGCAAAATGTCTACTAAAATGTTCGTGGGTTTTCTTTGGATCGCGGAAGGTTCTTCAAAATGAATAGTAATAGTTCAAACGAACAGTGGACGAGCAACGAACGCGCGGCGCGCATACAGCGCGGGTTGCTCGGCGCGCAGATGTGTACGTGCCTTGAGAAAACATGGCAAGGAACTATACCGCGCGCGATCAAGACTAGCACGGTCCGCGATGCGACGGGACCGCGACCGCCTAGTGCGTTCTCTCCTTAATAGTCCAGTCGGGTTAGACAAAAAAAGGGCTTAACCGGGAAAAAAATACGGACCACAATTTTATCGTTCTAACCTTTAGGAGGGTCAATAGTAGTGTAAATTCAGAATCGCGACTGAATTCCACCCCTGCATCAGCCGCCATCTTGAATTTAAGGAAAAATAGTTTTTGCTCAATATCTCGGCCATTTTCAACTTTACAACAAAAATGGTAAGGACTTAAGTTGTTGCAAATGCGATTTCCTACAACTTCTTTAGTTACAAATTTTATCGTGCGATCGATATTTTTCAAGTTTTAGGGGGAAAATAGTGACAAAGTATAATTATTGAATTATCTCGTTTGTTATTGACTTTACGACATAAATATACATAAACAAAGTTGAAAAGAATTATATTTTCTACAATTTTGATCTCTCTGATTTTTTCGCTACTACCAACATTTAAGGTCCTACGCCTATGGCAAGCCTAACTAAACTCAAGGGATCAACATTCCATAGGCCTGACGTCTCCGCAAGCGTAGGACCTTAAATGTTGGTAGTAGCGAAAAAATCAAAGAGATCAAAATTGTAGAAAATATAATTCTTTCCAACTTTGTTTATGTACATTTATGTCGTAAAGTCAATAACAAACGAGATAATTCAATAATTATACTTTGTCACTATTTTCCCCCTTAACTTGAAAAATATCGATCGCACGATAAAATTTGTAATAAAAGAAGTTGTAGGAAATCGCATTTGCAACAACTTAAGTCCTTACCATTTTTGTTGTAAAGTTGAAAATGGCCGAGATATTGAGCAAAAACGATTTTTCCTTAAATTAAAATTGGCGGCTAACGCAGGGGTGGAATTTAGTCGCGATTCTGAATTTACACTACTATTGACCCCCCCTAAATGTTAGAACAATAAAATTGTGGTCCCTAATTTTTTCCCGGTTAAATGACAACCCGACTGGGCTATAAAGGTTCAACAAGTGGTGTACAACTTGACAGGGGTCACCTCCTTTTTTATAAAAAAAACCTACGCCACTGAATTCTTTACAAGTTATTGTAACCAATTTATATTCCAATACACAAAATACGTAAAAAAGGCAAGTTGAATTTTTTTCCCTAAGATTCGCCGTTCTTAAGTTATTCATACCAATACAATCCCCTTGTGGCAAACACTTCCAACCATAATATTACAAGAATATTTATGTTTATGCTTAAAAGCAAGTGCAATTTGTAAGCACATCAACAAAATGATTTACACTCGTTTCCACACCACCTGTGAGGTAGAGTTCCTGACTCGTTTTAGTTTCCCCTGGAAGCCTCATCCACTCTCTTTAGGACTAAGAACAATTTAAATCAAAATAATAATAAATGTATATAATATACCAAAGGTGATGAGTAGGTATTGAATTTTCACAATCTGCATATTTAGTCACAAGAAAATCCTCATGAAATTCGGACAAAATCGTTTCAACACGAATTTTCTGTAAACGTTTGGCTGAATAATTTGCAATAAAGTTAGTGGACCTTTCTTCTTGACACTTCGTCTAAATTCCCAGTTATTTCTAAACTTTCTATAAAACCATCTATTTGAACTATTAGAGGATGTTCCGTTAAATATACGACAAAATAGCTGGATGGTGCTCCTGCGGATTCTGGGAGAGTAATAGAAGAATGGTGTTAGTTAATTTATTGCCAAAAGGTTTGCCTCCTTGTAACGGTTGGTATCCCGACAGAGCCGTGCCCTGCGCGGTGTCGACAAGCGACCGAGAGAGAGATGATAACGTTCATAGCATGTGTATGTATATTGTTTCATCTTTGTAAATTCAAAAATAAAATCGTAAAGTGAAAGTATTTGAGCAATATTATTTGTTTCAACAAATGGCTTAATGAAAATTATATGGGACGATGGATAGGTAGAAGACCAAATGCCAATGTCTACCATAACAGTGCAGAGGGTCCAGTGTCTTGACCAGCCAGATTGCCATATCTAAACTCCCTGGACTTCTATGTTTGGGATTATCTGAAAACTAAAGTTTACTCTACTCCAACAGATACAAGACCATAACTAGTCTAGCAAATAGAAGACGGGTGTAATTAAAAGAAAACCACCATATTAATAGAAGATGTCAGATATGTATCGATGTGGGTGGTTCGCATTTTGAACAATTATTGTAAATACGTAAACGTAACGTTAATTTTGTTTCTTCTTTAGTTGCTGTTGCTTGGTAAATATATTTGTATTATTATTTTGATTTAAATAGTTCTTATTTGTGAAGATCGTAGATTAGGCCTTTAGGGAAAACTAAAACGCATCAGGAACACTATCTCACAGGTGGTGTGGAAAGAAGTGTAAAGAACTTTGTTGATGAAATTACTTTTAAGCATTAACATAAATACTCTTGTAATATGTATGTATTATGGTTAGAAGTGTCTGCCACAAGGGGATTGTATTGGTATGCATAACTTGAAAATGGCGAATCTAAGGGGAAAATTTCAAGTTACCTTTTTTACGTATTTTGTGCATTAGAATATAAATCCGTTACAACAACTTGTAAAAAATGCAATGGTGTAGGTTTTTTTTATAAAAAAGGAGATGACCCCTATCCAGTTGTACACCACTGGTTGAACATTTAGAGCTCATATTTTAGGAAGTGCAAGGCCTACATTACATTGTCTGTACCAAATTTTATTGAGAACGGTTAATAGATTCCCGAGAAATAAACAAAAAAATCGATTTTTTTAACAACTTCAATACCCAGTATCTCTAAAACGGGGCCGTTCCAGACCTATGTTTATAAGACAAATACCTATTATTTAGATTTAAGAGATTTATTTGCCCTCGAAGTTTCCTGCATAAAATTCAGACCACCCTGTATAATTAGATCTATGTATAGTAGGATCATATTCGATGCAAAGTAATAAATCATTGCCTGTCAAGGGATCCAATGCAGTCTGCTTTTAAGGGTTTTAGAAATTGAATAATTTCTTTATACATTATGAAGGGACGAGGGGATCAGTTCACGTCTGGCACCCTTGTTCCTACAAAAATTCCTTTATTCTCATAAACTATTTATTTTAAATGTAATTTATTATAAATCCAATTTGTTTTTTAATTTCCACATATGTACTACATTTTACCTCTGTACGCGCCACTGTTGTTTACTTGTTTTTTGGAGACGCTCTCTGTTTTACGTCCAAGCTCGCCAGGTTAGTATTTGACGTATAACCGACCATTTCGTACACTCGATGCACCTGGGCGACTACAGCTACTACCAGAACACAGTGCGTATGCAGCGGTATTTCAGATTTAACATTGAATTTCATTTTAAATTTGAAATGGTTCATCTTACGCCTCCTAAAAATGATGACACGATTTTCCTTTGATAAAAGACCGACAACTTTTTGCTCTACTTTGCATCGAATACGATCCTACTATATGTTATAATTAGTAATATATAACTATATGTCACTATTGACTGCATCTGACAGGAATAGACCATTTGATTTATTCTTAACAATGTTTAAAAACGATAACAAACGTGATTAATTGTTCAGGTAGCCGTAACAAAAAATGTAAACAGCTAACTCTTTATTTTATTGCTTTATTCAACATTTAAAAAACAATAAATTGCAGACCAACTAAATCTTATATCATTGTAATTGGTGAAAATCTGACTATAAAAATGTTAAAATTAACAGGGCGGTCCATTTAAAAAACTGCCGGCAACGCCGTATCACTAAAAATAAAGTAGATGCTGGAAATTAAACGTCATTGAAACGTACGTCATTGAAAAGAATAAAAATACTACATAAACTTTGGTTAAAGGTATTTTTTAATCAAAGTTATGGTTCACCCTGTATACAGATGTTCCGACACATTTGCCCAACCCTGTACATCCGCACATATCCAATCTTATAGTTGCTATTTGGATCAGAGGACATACATTCCAGGAACTTCATAGTAACTAAAATAATGCTAATGGATTATTCGTTAAAATGTAAACATAGCGCTGTTAGGGTAACAAAATTCAAATTATGTAATATAGTTAATCTAAAAAAACGATGTTCTACTAACAAATTATTTTATTTTATGCATACTAAAAGTTGTAATTAATTACTTAAATGGTGCAGTGATGGAATATTTGTTATTAACAGTAATTGAGGTACAAAAGGTGATGTGGTAACATAAAAACAAAATACCGACGGCAATTGAATACTGATGCGATTAAAGTTTGTGTCAAAATATGGTATGAAATATCCGTTTTGAAATGCAGATTAAATATAACAAATAAACAAGTACCTACTACGTATTACAAGGTAAATCACTAATCAGTCAATATTCAGTACTTTGGTCTTTATCGCAACCTATAGCGCAATTAAACGAGTAGATATCTTACCTTTAGCCCATCCAGTGACGACATTTCCAAGATATGCTACCCGATACGTTGGGTCTGGTTTTGATATTGCAGCGCTGGCATACTTCTTACATCTTAATCTGTTGAGAAGAGATTTAAAAACGCGTTTTCTGTTTTCTTTCTGACTTTCTTTATTGGGCATTTCGCTGTTGAGTGTCTGTATAGATGGACCTTTGGTATTATTTTCAGCACCAGTGAAAATTGCAGAATCAATCACATCCTGAGCCATATTGTAACGTTCACCTTAAATTTATGATAACTTCACACAACGATTTATATTACGTACACCACTGGCTGGCAGATGTATCAAAGACAACGATTCCCAATGAATTTTTAACAATCTTTTCCTTGGTTAATTTTATATTTTGGTTTTTGTGAATTATATAAAAGTCACATTGCCCATTGTCCTCACTTTTTTTTCTCTTTTTCACCTGTCAATTACACCAATTATGCCATGCGATGGTGTTGCCTGTAACATCAAAGAACAGGTTTCAGGTCACTGAATTAAAACTAGTTATCATTAAGAATTCCAGTTTATCAAGAGAATTTAATATAAAGCCACGTCATAGGCGGAGATAAATACGATTTTGAGAGTCTAGAATTGAAGAGATATTGTTAATTACTATTTGCTTTAATTTAATCATATATGTAGTTTGTAGATTACGTGCTGTAAAAATATGTTTGAATAATTTAATGATTCACATATTTTTGAGTTACATCTATTACTCACAATTCTTGTAAGTTATTCTAAAACATTATACGAGTAGATATAGGAAAATAAAATTATATAACTGTATTAGCTATAAGAATTTATATGTTTAATTATATCTAAATATGCGCCTTCTTTTATAAATATCTGCTACGTATATGTATGTAACTACATATAGTATGTAGGTACGATATTTGTTGATAGAATTCCAAGAACATAATAAGCCAATAAAGTTCTGTTATCTGAACTACTATAACAATTTACCGCAGCAAGGGCGTGCTTTGAAATTTTCTCCCATTGTCTCCACCCGAGGTGGCTAGGTAAATATAGTGTTCTTTTAAATTTTCTGCAATATAGCTACAAAAAAATTGCAGGCTGGAATTATAAGAAACCCTCTAGCGATTTCAGAGAAATACTTCGCTTTCTTATGACTTCAGTGATAGGTATACATATAAAGATTGAGAGGTCTAAATTTAACGTAAGCGAAACAAAGTGAAAAGTGTACTTCATAAGCGAACTGTGTTAGATAAAACATTATTTTTGTATAAATACAGAAGAGAGAGGTAAAATGTTATGTAAATATCCTTATACGGTAAATTTTCTCTGTGGCCTTCACAGAAAAATAGCTTGAACACTAAAACGTCCCTAGGGGGCGGCTAGCATTAACGACCGTGACTATACGACCGTCGATTTATGGTTTCAGCACAGATTAATTCAGGGGGTGCCCACTCTCAAGAAATTACAGCAATTTCTCATCCCCACTTTTTGTAGTTGTGTCCATACATTCAGCTGACTGACTGACATAACGTTTATTTATATACAAAATAAAATTCGTATAACGATTGTCAACCTTAGTAAATTCATTTTATTACCTCTGTAGACACGACGATAGTGTACCTGAGACACCTGTTCTCAGTTTTGCTTGACTAACCACAGTATGTTTGTGTGCTCAACTACTGTAATCAACTATCAAAAAACTAGGCTTAGTAAATTCAAACAATTTTTTTGCCACTGACTTTGGGACTGTATGTTATCTAGCAAACAAATCGACGCCATTTTGTTAGTAGTTACTTTTTGGTGTTTTAATTTTAATATTGATAAACTTTTATCAAGTAAAAATGTTGTTAAAGTTTATAGTAAAGGATTGTAATAAAAGTCACGACACAACAAAGGTGCATGTGTTTCCTAAACATCCACAGGTAAACATATTTACTAACCTAACATTTTCATAAAATTGTAATTATCATAATGAATGTAATTTAAATAATTTTCACAATAAATTTTAAATTACGCAAATATTTCGAGTATGGGCCCAAGCACTTGGTAGAAGTGACCTTTGCTTTGTTTGTGTCGAGTATGTGATATTCATTTCTCGGACCATCAAAAATTTCAACAATTTGACATAGATCTAATTTGAAAGTTGATGCAATATTACATTTAAATTTATCTGAGAACGAAGGTAAGATATATGTATAGTTAGGGGATTATTTCAACTGGGGCAGTTGTTTATAAAACAACGATAAGAAGTGAAGACCAATGCGCGGAAATTCGGACTGAAAGGCAGGGACACGTAAGGAGAATAAAGGCAAATGTGAGTGTAGATGTGATGTTACGTTAACCCATTACTCTGTTAAAATATTGTTAAATAAAAGACTTAATAGTTATTAGGGTCATTTGTTAATCAATAACTGAGAGAGGTCTAACACTATCTATATATTTTAGGTTTATCCATTATACCTGTAATCGTGCTGAATCTTAATGATCGTTTTATCTGATAACATTTCTGTTTTTACTAATGATGTTAAATCTGGAACATCTACTGAAACATCTTTTACTTTGCCAGATCAACAAGCAGAGAAACGGCAGGTATTTTATTTACTAAATGCAGTTTTAGTACATTCAAATTATGATCATGTTCAATAAGTAATATGACTATTTTAATTTTCTTTTCAGCTTCTCCGTTGACACTTCCACAAACTAAATTAGTGAAAGTGGAATCTGCAAGTACTCAATCAACATTCAACAAATTCACCTTGGTTAACAAGAAATCATACACTTTTTGATCCTCCGTATATATTTATATTTCATTCTTGTCAATAGGGATATAAGGAATAACATTATATGCATAACATGTTGACAACTTTTATAAACTTATGTTTTAAACATGCCACAGAAAATATATTAAATTTAGTAAAATAAATCTCAGCATTAAAAGGATCGGTCCGATGCTTTGAACATTTTTCTACTTTTGTCAGAAACATTGTCAATGTTGATGTACAATATTATTTATCTACTTTTTGAATTTATTTACGTCACACACTATCCAACTAAGATAAAGAAATCGTTTAAATATGGAACAAATATTTCCAGGCAATTCCTTATTTACAAATGCTGTTTATTATGTATTTTTTTATTTGTATATTATTACTATTAAATGCATGTATTATTATTTATTATCAATTATTATTCACGTAAAATAACAAATAATGCAAATTTTCAGATATACTTATAATAATAATATTACTTACTACTTATGTGTTCGAGAACCCAGTACCCAGTAACCCAGTAACAAGAGATGTAGGCAATGGGTAAAAGTTTTTTTAATTTTGAAATGGTGTCTTGCGTCTAAAACTGAGTTATAGCTAAAATGAGTTTATTTAATGTTTTATAATTTATTTCAAAATTGTAATAATTACATATCATTAATAAAATACCTTTATTTTCCAAAATATGGATTCCATTAAGTTAGTCTACCAAGATATAATATACCATTAAGTCAAAACAAGAAAAACAAATTATTGTCAAGAAACACTGTTAATTTTTCGCCTTACCTATACGGTGCCTTATATTATTATATTTTAATCCCATGAACACTTCATTTAAATATCTTGTTTTATAAACTTGTTTTTAATATGTATAACTACATATTTGCATATTTAATTTATACCTATAAAAAAATTAATACGTATTAGTTTATTTGAGTCTGAAAATGGTTCCTTCAAATGACTTCTTTGAACTGTAACATTTGTGTTTATTACTATGATAAGTGCTCTTTAAAAAATTATATATAGATTGTACATTTGCATATTACATAATACAATAGAGCACCCTGTTAATATCTTTTTATTTTTGATATATATAATTGGGAATTATTTTTCTTAGGTATCAGATTCTAGTTTGACCGCTGGTCAAAATGATAAAAAACACACAGCAATAATTTTTTATTAAATTCTAACGTTTCGCTCCCGATCAGGAACTTTTAAGTGAGAGCAAAAACAACGATTCAAACTCTCCACGCTCTCACTCGATATCAGTACTTCCACATATCTGTATCGTGGTTTCTAAATTAATAGTTTTCACACATAAAGTTTAAATTATGATGATGTTTAACACAAAAATTAAATGCAAAATAAAAATGAATAACAAAAAAGTTTTCCTGATGCAACTGTTGTTTTAAAATTTTGGTTTTTCTTTTCTTTTATATTATACATGGAGTTGGTTGCTCTTAGGTATGTATTAACAAAAAATTATTGTAAAAATTAAAATGTAATGTATGTTAAAATTGTAAATCATTAAGTTGTTTTATATTTTCAGNTTTAACAATTCGTCAATTCTATCTAATACTGCATGTCTTTCTTTGGTACTTAAACTGTACGGTCCTTTGTACGATCACGTTAGGATCAATTAATCGGATTTCAAGCTTTTCAGTATTAACACGTGTACTTTAATATTTTTCACGTAAAAAATTCAAATTCAGTGCAACCTTTCTAAAAAAAACAAATTTTAACCATTTTATATCAACAAACATTAAACACCGTATCGACATCGTATTGAAACCAACATCGGACACGACAACATTACAAAAATAATATTGTCGACATCAAGACGACAAATTCAACCACGATCCAACACGACATCGACAATTCACAAAAATATCGGCATCGCTTCGTATCGGGAAGCCCTATGTACTTGGAACCTTTAAATAAATGAATCGGTAAATTCTTTTAAAAATAAAAATAAGTCGTTCCTTACTATCGACATTGTTTAAATCAAACTTTACTATGAGTTTCGAGTTTACTTCATGCATTTATCGTCTTAATTTCTTTAAAACGCTAAAATTATCTGACGCTTATTAACATCAATTTCACGACCAAATCATTATGTGACATTTTAAATAATATCTCGTCTAAGATAACATGAAAAGCAATCAATCAATCAAACAAAAACAATGTATGACCATATGTCGTTACACTTATCGAAATTTGTAAAGTACAATTGACGTTAACATTTACAATGCCCTTTTAAAATTATTAATTTATTTTCTCTTTTCTCACAAATCGAGCTGCAATGCTCCTTTTAATTAGTGAGCATTTTGCACCTAAATCAAAACAAAATGAAAACGACTCACCACGGTGGATCAATGATCCTGTTGTAGCTGCCACTGTGCAAATATAATTTATAAAAGGGTATTCCTCGAATAAAGTATTCTGGAATTTCCAAAGTCTGAAGGACTCGGCCTGTGAGAAAGACATCTCCGGCATATATATATATATAATTACGTTAACCAGTGGAGGACATATAGGTAAATATTGCTATAAGATCCCCAGAATTTCTATAACCTAAGATTTTGGAAATTTGGTTGGTTAGACACTCGATTTTCAACTGTTTTTTTTTAAGGAAAATGTGTTCTTCCAATTTATTCCAAAACCTACACATTTTCGAATTATCAATTTTAAAAAAAACTTATCATAACGTTGAAT